AGCGTGGTGTCTACAGACGGGGAAAAAAAAGCCTTTGGGAGTTACAGCAATACGTTGCCTTGGAAATACTTAAATTGATCAGTTTTACCATTCTATTCAAATACTTCACTTTTTAAGAGCTTTAAATCAAATAAGTTCGGGTCTTGAACGGTGCAGCTTTAGCGACTGCTTATCAGCCACTCGTGAATATGCATACTGCAGGAGCTAAACTGTGGCATTTTTCATTTTAAGGTGACATTGAATGACCTGAAAATGGATCCATCTTCTCCTGTATTACCAGCAACCATTTTAGAACAAACTGCCTTGCAGCTAGGATGCAGTCCCACAGACAAGAAACTTGCTCTTCACTTAGATGAAGAAGATGAGTTAAAGCATCTTCGTGAGTGTTTCTGCATCCCGAAAGTCAAGGATCTGCCTCCAAGTGAGAATTATAATTACAGTGACGGAGAGGGGGGGCAAGGGTGGGGCTTCACATCTTCTGCATGTGTTTATCACAAATCTTTGGAAATCATTGTCACTTATGAGATAATTGAGCAATTGCAGTCATATCTGAGCACAGTATGTCCCTGATGTTGCTAAATCAATCCATCAACTTATTCTGGCACCAAAAGCTTTATGCTCTCATTCCCATCCTGAATAAAATGCGAGGATACAGTACTTACACGGTGCTTATGCTGTCAGTCAGCTGCTTTGAACAATATAGTGACTGATTGAAAATTACAGGCAGAAGCATTTCTATCTAATGGCTTGAAACGGAAATGTAGCTTACAATAGTTCGGAGTAGTTGCTTCCTTGGTATAACATAGTTTGGTATTATCTATCTCGTTACAATTATTTTAGTTAATGAAAGAGATGGTACACATATTATATTAACATTTATGCCTTATTGCTAGTGGTAGAGATTATTTTCTTCCCGAGGCCAAACGGGAGACTGTGCCTCAGAACAAATAATTGATCTGAGCAAATAATTCAGAACGAAGCCTTTTATTTGAAGACCTTTCCTACTTTGCTGATGAATCGCCTGCAAATAGATAACGGCACATGGCTTCAATGTAGCCAGGCAAAATGGTTCTCGGAATTTTTCTGACTGGTTCCTGGTCCATAGGTTGTTTGGAGGAGCCTGTGGCATGTCTGAGTGTGGGAGCAGGGGTACCTTGGATTGATTTTTATTGAGAGGACCTGGTGTGCAGGCAGGGAGGCAGGAGGGGTGTGTGGGAGGGCTGGCAAGCTGAGAAGGAAGCATTTGTTTCGGGTTAACACTCCCAGCCCTGCGAAACTACTAAACATTTCCATGGGTGTTTTTCTTTTTGTACCCACTGCTGCTGCTGTATCTGGCCAAAATCATGCAGGGAAACCCGGTGGGAGCACGGTCCTGGGCTCTTCTCTTGCTTTCCAAGTCCTGCCCGGGTTTATTTTCAGCTCACATGTCAAATACATGGGGAGCAAAGGCTCTGCAGGCCCTGGTCATTGCACACTGGAAGCCGAAGAAATTAGGTACTGTTTCCTTAGACGGCAAACACATATAGGCATAGTAATTCTCCTCCTTTTCTGCCTTGGCAGAAAGTATTAAAAATTAAAGGAAAAATAGGTAATATAACTTTCTTACAAAATATTTTCATTTTCTAATAAATGCAGATTCAATTTTCTGTGAATATTTTTCTGAAAAGAAAAGTACCTGAGATGGTACATTCACCAAATTATGTCCAGTAAAGATCTGTGATAGAAAATGGTACCAATTATGTGAATTCTTGCATGTCTTTTGCAACTGTCTTTACCTTCAGTATCTTTCTGCCCAGCGATGATGGAAGCTGGGACGGCAGTCTGCTCACGCCCTTAGCACAGGGGGATGATAAATCTTAGTTCTCTATGTACTGGTGGTATTGGTTTCTCTCTCCCCGCAATTAAATCCTTGAATTTTGCTATTTATATTATTCAGAGCAGAACTGGACACTTTACAAACATTTTAACTCGATGCTTCCTCTACACAGAGGAGGTGTTCTCAGCCTGTCTGCCAAGAAGTTATTCTTTTTCTTTTTTTTTTTTTTTCCCCTGGTCACTTAAGAGGGTTTCCTAAGCCCCATCTGTTTGTTTGGATATGACTATTCTGTACTTAAAGCCACTTCATTTGCCACCGTGCTACTGGTGCACAATCTCCAGTGCAGCAGAGATGCAGGAGCTGCAAAACATCCCTTGGAAGCTGGAAAGATGCTTGGAAGGCTCACGTGGCTATTGCAATGCTGCTGCCGTTAATCTGCCCGTGCTATTGAAATCCAGCTCAAATAGGGCACCTGAACTGCAGCTGTGTCTTCAACTGCAGCATATTAAATGTCTCTCAAGAACATGAAAAGTCACTTTTCAGCATAGCGTCTCAGCAGCTTCAGATTAAAGAATCTTTCTTCTGAGAAGTATGGAGAGGTTTCCATGCTTCTGTGACAGTTTTCATTGCTTCTCTTCCAACCTCTGTTATTTTTTCTTTTTCAATTACCATAATATTTAGACCCAAAGACTACCCATGTGGGTTTTTTTTCTCCCCAGTTACTATAATATTCAGTCCTGAGACTGTGGATATATATGTTTTAGTGAAGATAAGCAGCTTGCATAGTAGTACCAGTTGAACAGCACAGAGAACCCATCATTCTTGTGCTCCCAAATTGAGGGTTTTTTTCCTCCTCTTTTTCCCCTGTCTCTCTTTTCTGTGCTTCAGCTGTCATCAGGAACAGCTTCCCTGCTGATAAACAGCAGGGGTGTAAATATATATATATTTACATTGTGCATCTATACCATAGAGACAGATCTCCCATGACATTTATCTGAGCACAGGAGCGGATCCTAGATAACATGCTTCTGCAGATAAATGTCACTACAGATATTAGCCATCAAATATTCTTTATATATTTACATAAAGCATTACAATGAGGTTTTAAAATGAAGCCTTACAAGAAGCAGATGAGAAGATCCATAGGAGACGACTGTAAGATGACGTACATAAACATATTTAGAAAGTCATTATAATAGTTTAATTTAGTTATCAACTTATAAACTGTCACAGCTGTTTGTTTGTTGTATCGATCAAGCAGAAACCGCTAGCAGACTAACTCCCTGGCAAATCTTTGCGTTTTTATGTTCAAGCATGAGGGACGAGGCTCAGGTGAGCAAGTAGGAAAAGATGACAGCAGAAGATTTAAAGAAATGTTTGGATCTCCTCACTCTTCTCCAAGCCAACAACAAAGTCTCTTTAAGGCTTTTTTGTGCACTGGGGGAGGTAGGAATGACTGGGTTGCATCTGGCAGTCGGGTGCCGAATCACCGATCTGATTAAGGCTATGGCTTGTGCTTTGTCACCTTGTAAAGGAATAGAGAATCATTTGGGTTTCTGGGGAATAAACAAGTGTCCGAGAGTGGAAGTGTTGAGCTATATTTCCCTGAAGAGATGCTTAAAGGTAGTGGTTAATCTTATAAATCTGGCTTTTTGTTTGAAGGGCTTGTGGGGGAGTATAGGAAGGTGTGAAAGGGGTGATCTTTTATCCTTCAACGAGCGATAGGACTCAGATAATGTATAATCAGATTTAGTCCTTCCTTTCTGGTCAGTAAAGGCATTGAATTTTTCCCTTTTTTTTGGATTGATTGTTTCTGAAAACAAATTTTGCTTTTTCTTTGAGGTCTAAAAGACACAGAAATACATTTTTAATGTAGAGCAACGGCTAAATTTAGTATGCAAAATAACATATGTTATTAGATCCGACCAGTTTGCACGAATCTGAGTAGCTGTGAGAATAATTTGTGAAGAACCTACTTAATCTTAATGTAAATTATTGATCACGTATTTTTTTAATTCAGACTACTCTAACACATTTCAATAATAATCTTATTTTTTTTAGTACCAGACATTATTTCATCAATTGTGCTTATTTCCTATTTGAATATTTCAATACATGTTGCACGTCAACCACAGCTCCTCCAGAGACAAAAAGGACCAATACTGTGAGAAATGAAGGTAGAGTAATTCGGGGAAAGACAAGCGCTAGTCTTAAGAAAACAAGTGTGTTACAGTAAAGAATACAGCAGTGACAGACAAAACGTTGGAGCACAACGGTGTGCTGGTCTGGAGAAGTTGTGAAATGACAAAGATGCTGCAAAAAACAAGAAGTAGTGGTCCAAAATGAGTCTTCTAATGATGTCACAGAGGGGGAAGTAAATGGCATTTTGTGAAAAGAAAAAGAGTACAGCCCAACACAGAGTTGATAATGTGCCAAAAAAAGAATATCCAAAGTAACAGAAGTAAAAGCAGAAAAATACATTTTGTTGAAGCAGTAATGTCATCTCTCTCCAACAGTGACCCAGGAGGCTTTTTATTTAGAGGGGAGTGTGGAGCAAAAAAACCAACTTGCTTGTAATTTCTTACTTGTTTTAATGCTTGATTGGAATATAAAAAGTATTAGTGAGATTTAGAGCTCCAAATTCTTGAGCAAAGATCCTTCTCTCTGTTCCCAATGAGACAGTATTATTGTGTTTCTTGATAAGAAAAGAACTGTTAATAGAACCAATTTAGGAGCATGGATAATATTTATGCCTTTCTGTTTTCATTCATATTAGAATAGGGATGAAAAACAGACATAGTATCTCTAAAATAGATTAGGCTGAAATTGCTCTCTGACTTCTGCTTTTTAAAAGCTTCTAAAGATTTAATTAAGAAATTACCCAAGTTGTCTATACATCTGAAAAATGTGTTTCTGGTGAAGTTCAATGAAGTTGGTAATTGTTAGTGCAAAAGGTAGGAAGAGACCTTTTCCAGGCATCTAATCTATTTTTCTATATCACTAACATAACATTTTCACAGGTAGAAATGCATTCGTTTCTAGCGTGTATCTTAACATATTTGTTCATTTGATCTTTCTTCTGAGCTATATCAACCATACTTACCAAAAATATATGCAATGTTACCTTTTGGGGTACTGTAAGTATATGTATAGATGAATGCAAATTACTCACTACTTCTAGAAGGTCACCATCATTTGTCCCTCCAAGAATCTCTAATATGAGAAATAATAGAAAAAGGCAATGTTTGGATTGATAGATGATGACATGGGGTAATTAGATTGTTCAGAACCTCACTGGAGCTATTATTTATAAATTTCTACCGCCTTGCTTTTCTCCTAATCATTGAAAGGATTTGTCAACATAGATTTCCTCCTCCTCGGATGATGATGACATGAAGTGCAGCCCACAATAGTTGCTGACAAGACAAGAACTTTTGAGACTGCCTTAAAATATTCTGTGCAATGACTACTTTTTTTTTCTAAATACCGATTTAATCATGCAGGGAGAACTTACATGAAAGACACAAATTTACCTAGTCTTAACTTTTATTAAATGCATGATTCAAGTAGTTTCATGACTTGGAGTAGGAATATATTGATGACAGAAGAAAGCGGATAGTCTGGTCAGGAAAATTCTCCCTGTTCACTCACTGTTGGTTACAGACCTGACAAAATCAGTGCCAGGGGCTGCTTCCCACACAACCTCAGAGATCTGGGGACATAATGGTGCCTGAACTCACAGCAGCTGCAGAACAGGTATAGATGGACTCAGCCAAAAATTGCAGGAGGACAAGGGGAATAACTGCTTGCAGATTGCCAGGCTGTCTTCTTCCTTAGACCTTTACAGGGTCACCTGCGTCGTGTCCTGGGAGGAAGGCCAGGGTGCGACACCTCTGTTCCCATGTGGGAACCACAGTCTCCCAGGGAGATCCAGAGCAGGCAGAGCTCTGGTTGGTGGCACATGTGTGCATCATGTGCAGTACCTCCGGCACTCACCCCCACGTGTGTGTTGTTTCTGTGATTTCCCTCCACAGCTGATCTGAGCCTGGTGAACGGAGAGGAGAGCTGCGTGTACTTTGTTGGGAATTCTCTTGGGCTCCAGCCAAAAAAAGTTAAAACTTACTTGGATGAAGAACTGGACAAGTGGGCTCGAACGTGAGTACACCTCAGGGTATGCCAGATGTTAACCCGTGCTTCAGAGGAGCATTCATTCCTTTTGTTTTGGGATTTGTCTTGGAAATGCTCGAATAGGAGAACAGTGTGTCAAAACCACTACAGCACAAGAGTAAATAATGTTCAGTGTTTCCCTAGAACTGTTTGTATCTCCTTTAAAGGTATGAGCCATAAAACAGGCCAAGTAAATATTCCAGCTGTGATAACCTGTGCTGTGTGTGGTGACTCTGCTTCGGCGCATCTGGAGGACCTGCACAGCTTAACCATCCCCACCCGATTGCTGTGTGTGTTTATACACAAGACATGCAAACTCACTTGGTTGCTGCTGAACATGATTCAGTTTCAGGCCCCGTGATTTTCTAATTAACTGCGTGTGATTCACCCTTGCAGGCCTTGCAATGGGCAGTTCCCCTTGAGATAGCACCGAGCGCAGGTGGTGCTGCTGCTGCCAGCACTGGCAGGTCTCTGGCTCCTCTTAAACCAGGTGTCTGCCTGACAAGTTCATTTTAGTTAGAAGAAAGAAGCATTCCTGTCTTCTCAGGAGCATCTCAGTGAGGAGCTGAGCCGAACAGAGCTGATGTAGGAGAGACAGGAGGACAAAGGAGGGACATATTTCAGCGTTGCAGGAAAGGGGAATTGTCATTGTAACAGTTGAGAAACTTTTAGAAATATAAGGAGGGGAAAAAAAGCTTTTTTGTTTTACATATTATATTTTGTTTCCATGGAGAGTCTGTGCTTTGAGGTGTCCAGCACCTGCCTAAGTAGCTGGAGCAGGGAGGACTAAAAAAAAAAGATAAGAAAGAACCAGGGAACTGAAATCGGGAAAGGAAAATAACATCCAGATGAGTGAGAGATGAACGCTTTTATGGGATACGGGATATGAGGTGAACAGATGTGATTTCATGGTGAGAAAGCAGAGGAAATATGGGGAGGCAGAAGAGGAAAAACTAATTCCGCTAACTGGGCTGCCTTGTTTCTGTAGAAATGGTCTAGATGGAGGTCTCGCAATGTAAATGTGAAAACTCTGTAGCTGCTGCTTCAGTTGTTAATGTATGAATGCTGTGAGTTAATAAAAATGGCTTACTGTTTCCTATTTATTACTTACATTCTCATAAGTGAGAAGAAGGTTGAGAATGAATGGGAATGAACGTGAACCTCAGGAAGCACTCCTTCCTCCTGGTTATTCATTCAGCGCAGCACTGCAGCTTCTCCAGTCATTTGAAAAAATTGCAACCCTGTCCATTTCTGTGTGATTATCGTACTTTATCAGGGAAACAGCTGAGCTCTTTCAAAAGGTAAAAGTCAGATAGCACTCTTATCTGTTAGAGCAATGCACTGGGAATGCAAACATATTTCAGCTCCTTCACTGTACCTTCTCGTTGGTTCACTTCCATTCTTATGTTTGTCTTTGCTACAGTGAAGGATGTTTTTTTTTTCTCTATGATTATAAAAACCCGAAAGAAAAAGGAAGGCAATATGTTTCTCCAGAAGATCAAAAGTGCCTTCAGTAGCTGTATTTAAGGGGGAAATATGGCTGAACATTATTTTAAGCCATTGGGGGAGAGGGAGCAAATCTAGAACTGCTGTTTGCCAAAAATACAGCTTGTCCCCAAACACCTTGCCCGGAATAAATCAGAAAGTTGGGAAAAAAAGCCAAAACAAAGAACCAAACCTAAACTAAACCCAGTGAAACCAAAATCCTGCTAGCTGTAGATGTACCTAAGGTAACTGAGAGCAGGTAAAGTCAAGCTACATTAGAACAGAGCAATGTATACTTAAAGAAGCTGATTGATGGGCAGAATCGGGTGCTGGTAGCTGCAAAGAAACAGTTGGTTGGAGATGAACAAATGGATGCTTTAATTCTAGTCACCAAGGACAGTTTAGCAAAATCCAGTCTAAGCTAGTAGCCATTACCAGCTGAAGTCTGTTCAATGGCTTGTGTGTTGACAGCGTGGAATTTAGTGGCTGTGGCTTGGATAAATAAGTAGTGAGAATCTAAGAAATGACATGCAAATTAGGTACATCCGTCAAGTCAGCAATGATATAGATTCTGGCTCTCTTAGAAATTGGTTTATTGCATTTTCTGTTTGCTGTGTCTTGGGACTCATCTCAAATAGCTTCTATACTTGTCTATTTAAATGGTTTTCACTGCTTGTAGCTGATGGCAAGAGTGAAAAGGAAGATTACCTGGTAGCTGTTTGTCAAGGGCAGGGAAACTCATAGCTTTAGCTCTGTGTGGTAGATGGCAACTCCTTAGAGTAAGGCCTGGAGAGAAAGAGGCCTTTTCATGCATTTCTTTCTTGTTGTGTTCCCTCTTACTGTGTCACTGTCCCTTTTTTCTCCCCCCTTCCTTTAAATGGTGAGTTACAGCTTTCTGCTCTTGCATCTGCCTCCCACATACCTGTTGTGGCTTTGTGTTCTTTCTTTCCATGTTTTTCAGTCCTCTTTTTTATGCTAATGTATAAAGACTATGAATTCAAGCCACTGGTATTCTTAATATGGATTAAAAAAGAGCCTTTGAAACTTGATCTTTCGTTCTGCTTTGATTTCAGCTAAATCCAAGATTTATTGAATGAGAGCGAAGAGGGATGAAGAGTCGTCTCTTCCATGCTTAGCCTAGAGTAACCAATAATCCAGTTTTTTGAATCTAAAAGACCAAGGTTGAAATGGCTTCTTTGGTTGGACTAAGGCCAATAGGTGCTTGGCAGTGTCTTGTTTTCCCTTTCCCCTGCCACAACTGTTTAAGCAATTAATGTATTTTATAGAATCATTACTGCACGCAGACATTCCCGCTGCAGTGGGCAATGTCTCTCACGGCCAAGTAACTCATTAAAGTGGAACTATTAGAACAGAAGGGAGTCTGCAGTAGCCAGTTGTTATGCTCTTGCGAAGGGCTGGTAGGGTGACTGGGGAGTGGAGAACCTGCTGAATGGAAGTCTTGAGGATTAGAGTTGTTTAGTTGAGCAAAATGAAGACTGAGAGGGGAAAATGATTGTTCTCTGTGAATATATCAAAAGGTAAACATAGGGGGGGAAAAAAGGAGCCATTTATGCGAAATAACATGCTGGCACAGTAAATATAAACTAGGAATTAATAAATTGAATCTAAAAACTAAATATGTATATATACTTCTAAGCATTGAAGCAGACTGGCAACAAGCTTCTGACATGAATACAGTAGACAAAAAAGAAATCCAAGTGTGTGGAAGGCTTTATAATATAGCACCTGCGGTAGCAAAGGACTGATTTCGGTGAGTCAAAAGGTATCTTTGGCTCTATGTGCTGGACTAATCCTGCGAGATGTAGCAGTCCTGCAAGCAGGAGTGCAGCTTGGCAGGGCTCGGTCGTATTCTGTTTGACAGACCCACTTCTCCTGCCATTCGACAGGAGTCATCTCTGCATTGTGCCTTTCAGCAGGTTGTATGTCAGAGCTGTAAATGTCTGGTTTAATGCTCTGGGTTTTTTAGTTTTGCCTTCAATCTACTGCTCCATACAGTTCTTTTCCTTTGGATATATCTTCCTTCCTTTTGGCTTTTTTTTTTCTGCTTGAAACCATCGTCAAACTTAAGAGTCTGTATTGGCTCATTAAAAACCTTGCGTCATTTTTGGCAAAGAAGCAAGAAGGAAATTTCTACTTGAGCAAGATTTGGATGAGCACAGAAGATTCCTGAAGCTGGCAATTAATTTAAATCCCTTTTGCTACCGCCTTTGAAACCCTGGGATCATATCAGAAAATGTGTTTCTAGCTCCCCTAGTGAGCTTTAAATCAACCAGACCTCAGCGAATAAAATGTGGCATTGTGATTTCTTGCCAAATTGAAAATAAAATGGTAACCGACTAAAAATTAATTTGCGCAATGTGGAACTCTCGTGGTGGTTTAAGAAGTAGTTCTGATCATATGATGCTTTATGATTTGATGGGCCACGTTTTGTATTCATTAATTTGGGTACCTTGATTGAAATCTCGCTTCCTACCTGGGGTGTGGTGGAAACCAAATGAGACGTAGGCTGTCCATGTCTGAGGGGAGTGCCAGCAGCACTGCAGTTGTGTCCTTAAAGATTATTACCCCCAGTGCCTACCAGAGCTGAGAGAGGGGTGGCATAATATACAGAGAGATAAATTCTCTGAGGCAGAGCATAGAATTTTACAACCTAAGCGTAATAGGATGTATTGTGCCATCAGCAAAGGCTACAGAGTTTCGTGTGATTAAAATAAAAAAAGGGTCCAAGAATATGCCTTTAACTACCATTTTAGCTGCAATAATTTTTGCCTCTTGACATTTATATTGGCCATCAAGAGGGAGGCAAGCTGTAAGCTGTGCTGTAATAATAATAATATGAATAATAATTAATGCTGGCTCTTCCCTCTTCCAACATACTTAAATTTCCATGTTTTCTTCTCAAAATAAAATATTCTCACGCCCAAAATCTCATATCTGTTTTCCTGGTAACTTGGAAATTTATTCTGAAATTTTGTTAGTCCTGTGTGCTGGTAGAAAGAGCTTTCATCAGTAAATTCCCATTAGAAGGACACTAATGGCTATAAAATCAGAGAAAGCTAATGAAAGAGAATCCCATAGGTAGTTAGGGCTTCTTTTTCCCATCTTATTATGTTCACTACCCTCTTTCAGAAATGCAGATCCCCTCGGGCTGGGAGCCACTGAAAATCTTTGGATTTTATTTTTTTTATTGTTAACAGTCTGTATTATCCCAAAGTCCCTTGATCACTATATTACAGTTAAGAATAAGAAGGGAAATTAGCAATAAATGTCTTGCTGTTTGTGAAACACATACCACTGTCTTCAGGGAACACAGCTGCGTTATGATCTGATAGAAGGGAGGAACTTTTAGCACTAATTCTGCCCCTCACCCCATTTTCTCATCTACCCACCTACTGCCTTTATTCCTCATCTATGCAATGTTCTTGTAAATGAGTGCTATTTCACACTGCCCGCTTTCTGCTATCCAAGTCTCATCAGAGAGCAATTCTAAAACGGAGAAAAGTGGTCGGCTGGTCTGCTACGACTTTATCCGAATTAGGGACTGGGGTGCTCCTTATTGCCTGTGTGTGGCTGGAGTTGTCGAACAGAGGGAGATTATTTTATCTGTAAGAGCCGTTCAGTTGTCCCTGTGTCCTCCTTCAGCTGTTGACCTAAACTAGACCAAAAGCAAATGGTATTTTGCAAGGATAAGGGGCATGAAATGGTTAATACAAATTGTGCTTTTTTGCAACAGTTCTTCTATTCTTTAGGACTCTGGTTCTTTTGGAAATATCCCCAGGAGGTGCGAATTAGACCCAAGTCAATCAGAAAGGGTCTGAGTGTACGACATCTGGGCAATTTGTGTGGGAGATGGAACAAAATTCTACGTGAGAAGGGAAAGTAGGAGGTGGACAGGGAAGACTAATCTTTCAAATAGCGTTAAGCGTGGGGGACTAGCTGGTAGTGTCTCATACCCCCTCCTTTCTCATGCTTTAATCTGCCAGACGTCTTCTCATAAATTTAAGTGAATATTGTGGGCCTGTATTTCTTTAAAAGGTCTCTTACCTGGGTTTTTTTTTATCTTTCTATCACCACAGCTTTCAGGGCTGGTGTTTTGGTTGGGTTTTTTTCTTTTTTGCTTTCTATTCAGTTTCCTACTGGCTTTGTCCCTGTTTTGAAACAGCTTTATACTTGGTTTGCCTCAGCCACACGCGGCCTGGCATTTCCAACTCCACAAGTACCCCGTGGTGCTCAGCAAATATGAAAATCATCCAGTGTGAGATGGAAGCCCAGAGCAATGTTCCCCTGGATTGGCACCATTATTACTTTTCTCAATCTGTCTTCATTTGCATTTAAATCTGTATGCTACATCCTGCATGTTTAAGAAACTTTGCAACTTTTTATTTATATGTGCATGGGGGCTACCTTAGAAGTTTGCTTCTGTCACATTTGAAGCAAAAAGTAGTTCAGAGCTCTTAATCCAGAACTGATACGTAGTTTTCACTCCAGAGTAGTGATGCCTTCAGGTTTAAGGTGCCCATATGATCCACTGCAGACAGGAACAGTTTGCAAAATAAAGTTTTTAAATGCACTCTGTCAAACCAAAAAGCTTTATGTGTGCTTAGATCTAGAACAATTTGGCAGAGAGAAGAGAAGCAATAAAAATTAGCAAGCAGCTCTGTTTGGGCAGGTGCTTCCCTGCATATACATTAAGTACCTGCTGGTTTATGCAGAAGGGTGAGTTCAGACAGGAGATTCAGGAGGACAGAAATTGTTTCTGACAAGAAATATTTCTGTCTGGGAGCAAGGCACTGTTCAAGTCTACCATCCTCTGCACCACATAGCGTTCAGCTACAAATGCTGATGAAGTAACTGCGGGGTGGTCTCTGCTCTCTGTGTAGTTCCTGTGGGCTGGGGTTAGTGGGATGTCATCCTACACTGGGCATCACTGGGCCCTTTCCTGGCGTGGCTGTTCCCGGAAGCTTCTTGTACCCACGCAGACACTTCCAGAGTGCCTGTGAAAAAGCTACCATCTTTAATTTTGAGGGATTTCTAGAGGAATTTGGAGATCTAAAACAGTTTTCAAGCAATGGAAAACCTGTAAGAAACCAACAAATGAATAGCATTTGCTACGAGCTTTAATGGCGTGATAGAAGTGCCGTGCTCAGCTTCGGCAAGTCTCCTCCTCCTTTTCCAAATGTGGGATCTTCAAATTGGGTATCTTTCTTAGGACTGATTCAAAGGTAACAGTATATATTTTTGTCATTTGCTTCTTCCTTTTCAGAGGTGTTCATGGCCATTTCAATGGTCAGCGTCCATGGGCTTTGGCAGACGAGTGCATCGTGGACCTGATGGCTGAGCTGGTTGGTAGGTGTCATGGGTTTGATGCAAAGGGGTTCTGGTGGCAGGAGAGGGGATTTGCTCCCTGCGACTTCCCTGGTTTCAGACCCGGTTCTGGCCACCAGATCAGACTGCCATCCCCCTCGGGGTTGAGCCAATCAGCGCCTCTGCGAATTGCCCTATTTAGGCTGGGACAAAGGATCCGGAAAAGGTGCTTTGCCCAGGAGCAAGGAGAGGGGAGGGGGGCACTGCCTCCGCTGCCCGGCCCCCGGCTGGGGCCACCCCCTGAGGATGGCGGCGGCGGAGCCACTTGGGGAACTTGGGGAGAGCCCCGCTCCCGGGGTGCCTGCTGGGCCAAGTTCACCCGGAGAGGACTGAGATCTGAGAGAAACGGCCACACCGACACCAGGGCAGTGAGGATGGAGCGGGAGGAGGTGCCAGAGCTGAGTTTCTCCTGCAACCGTGGCAAGACGGCAGTGGCCCCCCTGCAGCCAGGAGGGGCTTGGTGGAGCAGAGACCCACTCGTGGCCTGTGGAGAAGCCACGTTGGAGAAGAGATGCCTGAGCCTGAGGACGGTTGTGAAGCATGGGATGCACGACAAGGTAGAGACGCATCTAGAGTCTGTGGGATGACCCACGTTGGAGCGAGGGGCAACAGCTCCCTAAGACAGACGGCAGTGGCCCCCCTGCAGCCAGGAGGGGCTTGGTGGAGCAGAGACCCACTCGTGGCCTGTGGAGAAGCCACGTTGGAGAAGAGATGCCTGAGCCTGAGGACGGTTGTGAAGCATGGGATGCACGACAAGGTAGAGACGCATCTAGAGTCTGTGGGATGACCCACGTTGGAGCGAGGGGCAACAGCTCCCTAAGACTCCGTGACTGTGGTAAAGCCCACACTGGAGCAATCCGATGGGGAAGGATTGCATCCTGCGGGTAGGACTCACGCTGGAAATTTTCCGCGTGAGAGGGGGATCCACTGGAGCAGGGAAAAGGGTGTAAGGACTCCTCCTCCTTTAAGAAAGGAGCGGCAGGAACAACATGGGATGCACTGACCTGCACTCCTCCATGCCCTGTCCCCCTGCACCGCTGGGGGAGGAGGTAGAGCCGGGAAGAAAAGGAAAGGAGGGGGGAGGTGTGTGTTGTTTTTAAGATCTGGCTTTGTTTTCTTTTTATCCTCTCAAGTAACCGGTTTTGTTTCTCTTTATCCTTTCAAGTAACTGTTAATCAACTGTTTTGCTTTATTCCCAAGCCCAGTCTGTTTTGCCCAGGACCATGGTTGGTGGGTGCTCCCTCTGTTCTTATCTTGACCCTCAGTCCTTTTATTATATTTTTCTCCTCTCCACTTTACTGGG